AAGGAACTTTTCCAAAGATTAAGGAAGGAACTAAGAATGAGAAATAAGCCACAGTCTGGGAACCTCTGATTTTTGCTATGTCCTCATCACCAATACATTGTTAAAAGCTATCTTTTGGGAGTCTGTCCAGCTCTCGCTGAGTGCAACCAAAAATCGTTCAGTCCTCTGTAACGTACTTGCAGCCAAGAGACAAAATTGTGATGACATCCTTTGATGCTGGCAACATAAGTGAAACTGCCTAAGTGAAATACTGATGCATCAAGTAGCCAGGACGGGAAGGCTACGAATGCCAAATATGTTGCATTGCTGAACTGGTAATACAGGGTACTAGTAATAATAGGTGAAACTGCTGAACGTATCCAGAAAAAGCAAAAGGAAATAAAACTATTTGTAGTTCTATAATATATTTTGTTATGATGCTTCTCAATGCTAATACAATTTTGGTGTAACTTTGAGGCAATTGCTTATGGGACAACTATTTCTGGTTCCTTATTGCAGTTTAATTATCCAAGTCCATTAGTTAAATCATATTTCAAATCTCTCACCTATATTCATCAAAAGCACAAGTCTTACTTCTTGACAAATGGTTATTAAAACAATAAAGCCAGACATAGAGATCTCAGGCTCATGGTATTTGGATGAATTCATATAGAGTGTGACATGGCAATCGTGACATCACCTGAAGTGCAGAACATAGTGCAGAACCGAATCATCCTGGCCTGGCCCCTATTACCTCCCTGATACTGCATTCTTGTTTACATGTAAGCACAACAGGACTTCATTAAGCAGCAAATCACATTTGAAGGGGATGGAAACCAGTTTATTGATGTCTGAACAGGTGACAATGCAGCTCATCATGAACTGAGGGGTTAGCAGTCTGATTTCTTTGTGCTATTAAGGAAGTAGTACATCACCCTTAAGCTCTAGCCATGCCTTTACAAGTGCCTTAAAACCAGGCTGGGATAACTATAGCCAGCTGTTGGTACTGATGCCTACACCAAACCTTCCTATCCCACAAGCCTCATTATGCATAGGACTGAATTCTACTGAATTTTTCTCTAGTGAAGATAAAAAATGCATCATCAGTAAATGGTAGGTAACACTGTGTACTCTGAAGCAGATGCCTTTCCACTAGCACAGATCAAACAGGTTTTTTTTCTCTACATGGGCGGGAACAAGAAGAATTATTTTAAAATATGAATTGCATCATATGCATGGAGACATCTACAGAACATTTGTCCTGGTTCCGGCAGGGATAGAGTTAATTTCCTACCTTAGTAGCTGGTACGGTGCTGGGTTTTGGATTTAGGATGAGAACAAAGTTGATAAGGCACCGATGTTTTCGTTGTTGCTAGGTAATGCTTACACTAGCTAAGGACTTTTTAGTTTTCCATGCTCTACCAACTGAGAAGACTGGAGGTGCACAAGAAGCTGGGAGGGGGCACAGCCAAACTGGCCAAAGGGACATTCCATACCATGGGACGTCATGCTCAGTACATAAACTGGGGGAAGCTGGCTGGGGGGGCCGCTGCTTGGGGACTGGCTGGGCATCGGTCGGCAGGTGGTGAGCAATTGTACCGTGAATCACTTGCTTTTAGTATTATTATTATTATCATATTATTATAATTTTATTTCAATTATTAAACTGTTTTTATCTCAACCCACAAGTTTTTCTCACTTGTGCTTTTCCAATTCTCTCCCCCATCCCACCGGGGCAAGGGGGGGTGAGTGAGCGGCTGCGTGGTGCTCAGTTGCCGACTGAGGTTAAACCATGACAACATTAAACAAAACGAAGGGAATCAGTATGCAAGCAAAACCCTGACTGGCAAATGGTATAAGGTTAATAGGAAATTATCATAGCAGAATTTAGTTTTCCTCATTCAACTAGGATCAGCTCTGTCTGACAGCTGAATTTGATTTACTGGTTGATAAAGCCATGCATACATTCTCTCAGACAGTCTAAAAATCATTCCTTTTTTCCTGGCCAAGGAAGCTTTTTCTGTCAAATACCAATCACTCATCGCGAGAGAACAGTTGACAACAACCTATAAATAATAAATGGGACTATTAGCAAGTAAGTATTTTGTCAGGAATTTGCAAAACTACTAGTGAATACTTTCCTTCATGTAAGTGAAGGTTCCAGCTATGGTATGCTTTCATATACTTCACTGAAATGTGCAACAATTGCTCTTCAGTTCACTAGGGACCAAAGCTTAAGTAAAGCTTTGGTACCAGACAGCTTGTGGCATACCAAGAATTATCCTGTATGTGAAATCCTAGGACTAAAACAAAGTATCTTTAAAAGGAACAAGCAGAGGAAGAAACATTATGTACAGTATGTTATTTGGTAAAAGACACAATGATTTAGCTTTGAGTTCAGATTCAGGCAAAGATCCAATGTAACTGTGCTTACCACCTTACTTAATTGTACTTCAAAGAAGATATTAGCTGAGAAGGTCTTCTGCATCTTCTGAACCAATAGGCTATACAGCCAGCTGGAGTCTACCGCCTCTCAATGTGGTTGCCCAAGTCTATCTGGAAGCTGAATTTGGCCTGTTCTGGGAAAAGTGTCATCTGTCTGCGGTGTAGGAAAAACATTCTGTTTTTCTATCATTTCTGTAGATATACTCACCCACATATACTAGTCATGGGAAACTGCACGATTCAGGCAGCTCTCTATTTCAAAAATCACTGAAGGAAGTCTTATGGAAATGAAAACAATTATCACTAAAGAAATCATAGGAAACAAACATCAAAATTTCAGAACACGTCAGTATTGATATGCCTTGGAAAACATTGCATATTTCATTATTTTCTTGGGCTACTGTCGCTCATCTTTACCAATTCTAATCAATTATGTCTCTTGCTCCAAGGATTAGATAAAGATCAGGAATAAAATATGTTTTCAGAAGTCTACAATTCAGTCTTACACAAAGACATTTTTATAAAGAGTTCTTCATCTACTTTAACTTCATCCCACAGGATCCATTAATCACAGTGTTCTCCCTCCAGGATGGACTGCTTGGACAATGGAGCCGATGAGGTATAGCTCTCTTCTCTTTCCTGTGGTCGTTTTAAGATTTTTTTTCCCAGTGTGTGCATATATTTACACCACCATAACATATATTTTGAAGTGAAGCTCTTTTCCCAAGAATTAATGTTCTTAAAAGAAAATCAACATAGCTCAGTAAAATGACAGTAGTTCATAGGACATGAAAAAATCCTTTTTCAGGGAAAAAGAAAATGTTTGAAGTCTGGATTTGTAAAACCTGCTGCTCTGAGTACTGGCCACCTAGTGCACACTTCGATTTGCTGTCTGCAAGGGTCTCCGGACAGCACTAGTAGAGTCTTAAACAATAAGTCCCCAAAGTGCAGAATTATGGACTGATGGTTCATGCTTTTAGGAACAGAATTTTGTGAAGAGTTGCAGTTGTCATGCCTTGCCAAAGCAGCAGTAATAAAGGAGCATCAGAAGACAGTAAAGGTGGTTATTATGGGACTTACTGAGAATCTCAAAATCTGCCAGGGGGTAATACACTACAAAAGCTACTTCCAATACAGTACACAAGCGTACATGCTGCAAACTCACTGAGCTGCTGTAAAATTACCTTACATTAGAGGAGTTAAAGAATATAGTAATTATTCGTGAAAGAATAAATGAATTCTCCCATGTTTTCCTGATGATTGAGATATTTATTTTTTTCTTCTTTGTGTTTCTTGGCTGCCTCTTTGATCTTTTATATTCCACAGCACAATCAGATAGCAGTAATTATCAACAAGCTTAATCCTGCCCAAACTGAATTTAATGGAAAACTGCCAATTGGGCTCAAAGGGAAGTGAAAATGAGTCCCCAAATTACAGAATAATAATAATCACTGTGGTGATAAGCTAAGGCTTCAGTGTTCCTATCGCTTTTGCTTTGTGTGGCTTTACTTATTTGCTTTATGGAGATAATGATATGGGGGCATGTAAAAAGAGTATTTTGCTCATACACATCAGACATACAGCTGCCATTTCTGTCTCTGGACTGACATAAATAGAGAGGCCGTATCATAAGCAGTGTAAATTGCAAAATCTCCTCTGTGGAGCTACTGATTTATAGGGATTACCTGGCCTGGAATTTGTACTTCCAACATTGACAAAGGCTTGATGCTTCCCTCTGGGGAAAAGGCCAGTCCACTGTTACCCTGAGAATACATGCTCAACCTCAGACCAGTAACAGACAAATTATTAAGCTGTTCTTGCTTGTCTTACCTAATGTCCATTTGAATAGCTCTCTCTTTAGAAAGCTGCTGTAACTGCTTCTAAATTTATTTCAAACTGGAGATTTATACAAATCTTTTATAAAAGAGTTTACCACGTGTGAAACATTGGCTGAATTAAGTGAAGATTATGCATATCCAATGATTGTTTTTGAGCAAGTTCTGTTTTCTTTTAATGACAAAGAGGCCATACCAAAGGCAGCAAGTCCCAAACTGCTTACAGTCTCTAGGAAACTCTCAGGGAAAGGAAGGCAAAGCCCATCAATGGCCACATATTTTAAGGCAGATGATGATCCAGTAGGCCAAATCATGAGAGTAGAGGTAGGCCACGTTTCCTCTCTTAAATTACCCTTCGGTTTTGACAGACTTCAGCAGCCTCTGCAGCTCATTCAGGGGTCACTGTGTCCCACTCCTCCTCCCTTGCGCTGGGTCAGCCATCTTGCCAGAAGCTCAAAGAAGTCTTAGCCCTTTACCTGGCTGCTCACGTGTTTGGTTTCTGGAATAGATCTGCCTTCTGTGATAAAACTGGCTCTCCAACATCATTGTCACAATGCACTTTAAATACTAATTCATTGCCAGTTTTGGAAAGAGAGGTCTCAGAAATACTGTGTTCCTGAAAGTTTTGTGAAAACGAGTAGCCAGGCACAGCAGTGAGACCTTCTTAGTGCTCGCACACGTGGAAAGGCTGAGGCAGCCACTGCCGCAGCCGCCCCACGAAGCTGCAGGCAGCAAGCTCACCCAGAGGCACAAGATGGCCGTCCAGCGCTTCGCCATGCTGCTGGCTCTGCTGGGCCAGCCAAACGTTCAGGTGAAAGGGGGCAGAAAGTCTATCAGAGATGGCAGAAAGCAAAGATCATTTGAGGACTCTATGGGCCACAGGAAAGAGCTGCAGATATGGTGCAGGGCATGAGCCATGGAAACAAGGCAGGCAACTGACCCCACCAGCGACAGCGTAACGAGGAGACAACTGGGAGATCCGTTGAGAGAGTGGGCGGGCAGCCGTTGGAAGCATTACTTCACGGCGCTTCACAGAACGGGTTCGTGAGGGAGCCAGCCTGCGGGCAGCGGTAACGGGTCTCTCCCGCCCGCAGTCCTGACAGCGCTGCGGTAGACCTCCGGAAAGTTTTGCCACACCGACGCCGTCCCAGCAACGGGTCGGAGCCGGGCGGGCAGCGCCGAGTGTCTACAATAGAAAGGTTTTAGTCTGTGCTGTGATGTACACTAAACCTGAGATAATCTCCCTGAATTGTCACAAGCTGTGAATAGGTAGACCAGGTAATGCATTACCTTCCTTTTACAGATGAAACTATTATTGTTAAATAGAGAATTAGTTTGCCTCTCTTTCAGAAGAGTGAGGAAAGCAAAGCGGACAGGACACCTCCATGTAAAAAGGAGCAGATGTGAGCTGTCAATACTGGTTCCTTTTAATCAAGTAGAGACAAGGTCCTGACAGACAGGAACAAGTGTGTTGGGCAATGCCCTGGTCATTCTGGCGTTCGTGGTGGACCGGAGCCTCCGCACGCAGGGCAACTTATTCTTCCTCAACTTGGCCATCGCCGACCTCCTGGTGGGTGAGTTCCAGGGCGCCGGGAGGGGCGGAGGGTTGCGGTCCGTGGCACTGCACACATCACCGCCAAGCTCTGTCCGCAGGCAGCTTCTGCATCCCCCTCTACATCCCCTACGTGCTGACGGGCAAGTGGAGACTCGGCAGGGGCTTGTGTAAGCTGTGGCTGGTGGTAGACTACCTGGTGTGCACCGCCTCCGTCTTCAACATCGTCCTTATCAGCTTCGACAGGTTCATCTCTGTCACCAAAGCGGTAAGGGCTAGGCAAGCAGTCCTGAGAGTAGTCTGCAGGGGCTCCAAGGCTGCCCTTTCAGGCAGGATGGTTTGCTTAGGTCACCTGGCTCTCAACCCCATTGCACCTCACTCAAACCACCACAGGAGACAGGGGTAGCTAGGCAGTTCCCCTCGGTCTTGGAAATAGTTGTGGGAGTGATCAGGTTTGGTAGAAAAGACATTTGCTTCTCACTTTTACAGTGGAAGAGGTACTCTGTTTTAGAAACAGTTTCTATATGCTGCTGTTTGGGCTAGAAGGTCAGAGGGAACAAGGTGTACTTACTTCCTTCCCAGCCACACCTTGGATAAGCTTAAGAAGTACTACCCAGCTGAAACAGACCATCTCCCTCAGAACATGGCAATGCACTTGTTGACAACTGATAGCCCAAGCCAGCCTAGCTGCATCCCAGCTGCAGCACAAGGCAGAGATAGATCTCCTTGCAGTGGTACCAAACTATTGAGAGAATTAGATGTATACAGCTGTATATGGTTCAGAAGTGGCAAAATATAAATTAACATTAATGTCTTTCAAAGGATGCAAATGCCATTTCCATGTAACAGCCACAGAAATAACTAGAGCCTTGCCTCAGTCATGTCGGTTATTGAAAAAGGAGTAGACTAGACTTTGCAAAATCAAAAGGTAACTTCATTTTCACCCAGACCATACTGCCTCGAAGTATTTTGGATGGTGCCGAAATAACACATTTTACCTGCTAATAGGTTTCACTCTTTTGCACACACTTCTTGATCGTTCTTCAGCCCCCTGTTCCACCCACATTTCCTTAAAACATTAATTTCACATCATAGCTCATTCTAAATCACACTAAGAGGCAACGATACTTTTTTGGCAAATGGTACAAAGAGAGGCTGCGAGATCACTTTAACAGTTTAAATGCAACTTAGTGTTTTACCAACTTCTTTTTGAAGAGGGATAAATGAACAGATTAATTCTCAAACAGTGAACACTTACAATTCCTTTATTTTCTAGGTTCTGAATTAGCCATGAATTCTGCTTTCATAAACCAAACTCTCACAACTATTCACATAGTATAAATATATAGACTGGATGGTTTCAGAAACAGAAAGGGATACTGGTCATAATAAGTGAAAAAAATCAGCCACTTTAAAATACTTCAAATTAATCCTCCATATAAAAATCCTTCCCCAAGCAAGAGTACAGAAGTTGCCTGTTGGGTTAGGGCAGTATAAGAACATATGAACAGGAATATATGAAGTTCTAAATTATTCTCTATCTCAATGAAAATGGTAATCTTTCTACAAGACTGCTCCTGAAATCATTAGTAGCTTTGTCAAGGATTGCAAAATCAGACCCGATTCAGAGAAACTCAGGATTCCTCAGCTGTGTGGGTATTCTACAAGAATAGCATTGGCTTTGGAGATCAACAAATTGGGGCAGTAAACATGAATCCTATACAGAATTCAAGCTTGACTTCATATTCCAAAACACTGTGTGGCCACTGTAGAGATGCAAAGATTGAATTCCAATTCTCTGAGCATTGTCCAGTACACCAGGGAATTAGAATATTAAGTAGATGATCTTGATTTTTAAGATTCTACTGAATTCTATTGCTGGTACAGTTTACTGACTCAGTATTACTGACATACTTTTTTTAGCACCTTAGCTACTCTTTTCTAAATAAGGGAAATTAGTTACTCCTCTTGTAAAGCACTTTGCAGACTGCAACACTCCATCTATACATCTTAATTGCAGATAGGAGTTCTGCAAGTACTTCATAAAAGAATGAAATTAAGTGTATCAAACAGAAGTAAAAGCTGTTATCCATTAAATTTTTTGTGTGATTTTCACATTAAGAAAAAAAAAGGCTTTCCCTCTACAAACCAGAAAGAAAAGAACTTGCATGGGTGTTCTATGAATTCAGATCCTTTTATGTTATTTTAAATTAAATTATTTAAAAATTCTAAAGAAGTTAATTTTGAAGGGCCGTGTTTTTAGACATTCTGTAAACTGGTGTCACAGCTAATGCAACTGCATATGTAAGCAACTGGTGACAACCAATTCTAGGAATAAGAGTGGTTATTTGCCTTGGAAAAGCCTTGGTTTTCTAGCTTTTAAGAGCCGATGCATGTTCTCAGAACATACCCAGTCACCTTGATAATGTTTGTTGGAACGGATATTTCAGAAATAGCTTTTCTGTGGTACCAGTAAGCTTGGTATAACCCTCATCCCTAAACCAATATATTATCAACCCTCACAACTGACAGAGAGGGTCATATCCCGAGGTAGCCATGTAACTGTTTGAGATACTAGTAATCTATGTGACTTAACTTCTCTCTCTCTCAGGTCAGTTACAGGGCTCAGAAAGGGATGACCAGAAATGCAGTACTGAAGACTATCACTGTATGGATTGCTGCTTTTCTTCTCTATGGTCCAGCCATTCTCAGTTGGGAGCACATTGCCCAAAAGAGCATCCTCCCTGAAGGAGAATGTCATGCAGAATTCTTCTACAACTGGTATTTCCTAATGATTGCCTCTACTATTGAATTCTTTACACCTTTCATCACTGTTACATACTTTAACTTAAGTATTTACCTCAACATCAGGAAACGCACATCCCTCAGAAATGAAAACCTATCACCTGGTCAAGAGGACTGTGAAATGAGTTTCCAGGGGAAAAAAAGGGAATACGCTGTATTTTTTGTAAAACCTGCTAATAGACACAAACATGAAAAGAAGAGAGCAAGCAGCCTTTCTCCCCCCAAAAAGGCTTCAAGGCTCAGCCTACATAAGCTTGACAATCAGTCATTAAATTTGAATGCCAATCAAGACCTTCCACCTCTGCAAGTGGAAGTCGAGACCAAGCCTCATAGGAATGGTTTCTACAAAACTACAGAAAGCATATGCAATGCTGCCAGCAGAGTGGACATTGCTAACACTATGGCAAATAGATTTAGGCTTTCCCGGGATAAAAGAGTAGCAAAGTCTTTAGCAATTATTGTCTGTGTGTTTGGTTTGTGTTGGGCTCCATATACACTTTTGATGATCATCAGAGCAGCTTGCCATGGGCACTGTGTGCAGTATTCACTCTACGAGACTTCATTTTGGCTTCTGTGGGTGAATTCAGCCATTAACCCTGTTCTATACCCATTGTGTCACATGAGCTTTAGGAAAGCCTTTATAAAACTCCTGTGTCCAGGAAAAGCCAAAATTCATCCTCATATTTTAATGTGAAAAAAAGGAAGTGTGAAGGCTGACAATTAGTACATCTTGCTTTCAGTGGGAGCATAAACTGGTTAACACTCACCTGCAAGTATTAAATGCAATGTGCACTGGATAGTTTATGGAATACTGATAACTAGGTACAAGTATACATATTTATGAATGTATAGAAATACAGTCATCCATGTAGCTAGAGAAGTCACAGCAATGAAAAGAAAGGTAATTTCTCAAAGCTCTTTGGGAAATTATGCCAACAGTACATTTTCTGGTAATGGTGCACTGGTGTTAAAGTGCTGAAAAGGGAATACAACATTCATGGCCAATAATTAGAGTTCAGGCTCTCTCACTTTTAGTAACTAACTGTAAATATTGCTGGTAAGGAATTTCATGAAGTGTTAACCTTGGACCTGTTATATTTTACTCCCAAACCCACTCTAAGACACCAAGGGTCTCAGCTGTTAAGTGTAGTATGCTTTTTCCCCCACTTAGTGGCAAGCCAGACAAGATCATGGCCAATGCAAAACGACTAAATACTTGTCCCATGCTTTTCCTGGTCACCAGAGGCACCAGAACCAAGAGAAGGTTACCAGAGAAGCTGAGCAATTTTAGCAGGTAAGGAAGCACTGATCTGAGTGGAAAAGGTGATTGAGAAATAAGAGTAGACTTTTTAGTAGAACTAAGTTCAGGGACAGGAATGTAAAAGGGGTTTGAGCTTTGTAACAGGAAATATGAGAATTGATACACTGGAATCATTTCACCATGAGTTTCCTCCCTCAGCTATGATTTCCTGCCCCCTGCCAGGATCCTGCATGCACAGGAATCTACTCAAGTCAAACCTCTATTCCGTACAGGACTGACAGGTATTACTCTATCTTTTACTATAAGTATAGAGTAGCATAATTAGTCTATGAGGTCTATGACAGACAGATCTTGCTATAGACAGAGCTTTAGGTAAACTTGCCTTGGAGTAATTTTTAAAACATTTCCCATTAGACTTTTACTAGTTCTGGCTAGTTCTGAAAGGAAAAAAAAATACTGTTTTCCCCTACCCCACGCATTGAATCTATCCATCCATCAAGTCAGTGGTCAAAAAAGTATTACTTGAAGTGTTGAGACGTTTTCCAAGTCATGCATCAGGAACAGCATGACTCAAAGAAGTCCATTAAAATTCACAGCCTTGCTATTGACCATGAGTGTGAAAAACAAGAACATAAACAACTACATACCATTTCTGCCATTCTGCCTCTGCCACAAGAGAAGTTCACACAGCTAGATCCTGAGTTTTGACTAGATTTGTCCCACAAGCAGTATCGATTTGAACATCACTAGCAATACAAGTTTGTTTCCACCATCATAAGCATTTTCTATGTAGCTTAACAGATGCGTTCCTTTGCTGACAAGTGATAGCTATTGAACAGCCGTAGTTGTCCATTGCCACAGCCAAGATGCATGTTAGTACAGTTGATCTTAAAGTTTACAGACAGTATTTTGAAATTATTTACTTTGTAAAATTTCAATAAAAGTAATTAAGAACTGTGGAAGAGTCATAACTCTGTAGCCTTAACAAGTGGTACACGGGAAAATACACTGGCCTACAGCATTTGGGTAACTGCAGTTGAAACCGCAAAACCATTATTCAAAGACAATTCCTAAGTTACAAGGACTGACCTTGAGGATTAAACAAACATAGTTAGCAAATATTGTAAACTAGGAGGGCGTATCCCTACTAGATGAATGTATCTACATGAACATGATCATCATGTTCTGCTATGGATGTTTTATAACAATCAGCTTAACAGTTCTCTTAAGAGGAACAGCATCAGATACAGAGCAACATTAAGATTTTTGAATAGCATTAATTATACCACTGGGCAAGTAAAGCCATTAAATTATCTCCCCGTTCCTCCTCCCCTCCAAGCCAGACTTATACATCAGTAGATCAATGATCTAATTGTTGCCTACTCCATAATTCTTGTTTCCTAGGATCATATTTCCCTTTTTCAGAAAACAGGCAGCACTACATTATTGGACACTCCCACCAAGGTCTCATTCACTATCCATTCAAGCCAGGACAATTTTCACAACAGTGGTCAACTCAAGGAGTAAGGAAGTTCAATCAGTTAGCTTTAGAACATTACATTCAGTTAAGGTAAAACAGACATTTCAAAGTTTTCAGCCACTGGCATTAACCTACAGACTAGACCAGTCTTCACAGGAGTTGCCATTGGCAGTTGCGCTACTGCTCAATTTCCTACAGCTTTGTCATTTAATTGCCACTCATCTCTAGCACAGACCTAGAATCCAGTAGGATTCTCCACCACTCTGAAGATATGTCACAAAAGCATTTTGACATGTGAACACACATCATCTCAGCATCATTTGGAAAAAAACTAGTGGTTTTGAATGATAAAATTCTACATTAGAAATGCTAGCAGCCTCCCAGCTTGTCCAGGTTAACTATGCCTTGATTCTTCTATCCCTACAAAACAGAAGTTCCTTTGCTTTTATCAGAAGGTTCAACATTAGCATTGGGTTCAACAGTGGGCTCTGAAGAGACATGAAACAACGGATGTTAATAGCAACTTTATTGTTTCACTGGTGCAAAATCATGATGCTGAATAAACTTGTGTAATGCATTTTCCCCTAAATTTACAGTAATGAAGGTTATACATATCTATATAGATTGCAATTTCTCTATTTTTTATACTATTTGGAACAAAATTATCTTGATAAATATGCCCTGTGCACAGTACTGGCCCTCACTGAATGTCACAGAGCCTTAATATGCAAAATAGAACTTCTGTTTTTGAACATGGCACTTTAAAACTCTCCAAACATGCATTAATATATTCTAGTTTTCAGGGAAAAATATTACACTTAGTCTTAACTTGCATTAAAAGAAAAGCACAAGCAGAATCTGACATACAATAATCCCAAAAATCTGATGCCCTGTAAGGATCAGACACAGTTTCAGATGACAGCCACTGCCAGTTTAGAACTCTAGTGCTACAGAAGCAACAGTGAACAGACAGAAGAGAAGTCAGAACCGGAAGAGCCCTACCATGTCACATGGATTTCAAAGAAAGTTTCAGCCATGCTAACTGATGAAACCTGTAGTTGCTGGTCCAACCTTTCAAATTCGTTAGAGCATTCAACACAAGTGTTTGAAGTGCCAGACTGAACACATAAATGTTAACTTGACATTTCTGAAAGGCACAACCTATGAATCTATCTTAAAAAAAAACATATGGTATGTAAATGAAAGGAAATAAGTACAGTGTGTATCTTCCTAAAGAACAAGACCTTCATAAATTGGCCCCTCAGATTCTGGTGATTCCCTCCTCAGACGCAAGTGCTCCAGTGTGTTGTGAAAGTGTTTGTTAATTTGTTCTGTTTCTTCAGTAGACTCAAGGTTTGGGAGATCTTCTCTTATCTTCTGTATAAGCTGATTCAAAACCTGAATTGTCACCTACAGGAGAACGTAAACAGGACAGAAGTCATCAACCAGACCTGTGTATAAGTGCATAGACATTAGTTTTAAGACTTGTCTCTAAACTATTGGTTTTTGGACAGTTCTTGATTGATAAGTATTGATAACACTGCACGCAGACAAACTGTTGGAGCCTGCCTTCTCTTGCTCCTCATAGGACCATTCTGATTTCAGAGTTTTGTGGAAATTCCCCCCATCCCAGCAAATGTGAAGAACTTCTTAAGCCATTAACCTGATAGCTTTGTAACTTTTACCACATCATTTCTCTCCAGTTTATTCAATACAAATTTTAAAAGCTTTAAACAAATAAAGCACATAATCACTCTAACGTAATCTGTTTCTTGTAGAAGTCAATCAGCATGGTAATATCAGATTTAAAGTTATTCTTGGTGACCAAGTCATTACCTAGCAAAATACGGCTGCCTATGGTGTTAAGTCCAGCACTACACAGAACACCACAGCACAAAATGCACTGCAGACCACCACTGTATCCAGAGACTATTTTTACATCTGCCAAGTGCTTTGAAATTAAAAGTCTTATTTTCATCTCCATCAGATACAGCATCTCCTATACTAGAGCACTACTATAGTGGGAAGCCAGTTCAGTTGCTGGAAAGTCAGCAAATCCCTAAAATCTCTTTAGATATTCTCTCAGAACTACAGGGTATTCATTAACATCTGCTCTTCATCAAATGATGACATCAGATGGGATGTTGATCTCTACTTGACCAAGCAGCTTTTTCAAACCGGGTAAGTTTACTAGTTATCTGCTAACAGAAGATGTATGAGGTAACTATCTCAGATTTCAGATGCAGAATTTAAGCTGGTACATTAGGTGATGTATGTATTTCTTGAAATTAAAGTTTACACCAACCATTTGTGGTGCACTCAGCAGTGACCTTGAACAGCTGTAAGAATTTTTTCCCTTATGTACATATTAAGTTAGGTACCTCCAAAGTTAGATGAGAAAGTAGTAAGATTGTAAGTCCTAGTAAGTTTTGATCTAATAAATATTTCAGGTATCTAAGTCTCACAATATTTTAGTTCATAACTAAACTGCAAATGTTTGGTGTTTTCCCCCATGTAAGAAGAATGAAGTTTTATCCACAATTTTACTAACATCAAGAATTGACTACTCTATTGTTATTACCAGAACTTGTGCCTCTCGGGAGAGAGTACAGAGCAAGTTGAAGAGACATTATTTGGGGTATAAGTATGAATGATGAGCTTAAAGAAATGCTCTTTAAAAAAGATGCAATAGAGAAAATGCATTTCCACTCACCGCCTCATTTTCCTTTTCATAAAAATAGATATATCTATTCAGAATTTCTATGAAAAGTTGGACTTGCAGAGAAGGGTCCATGCACTGATTTGCTATCTTCAGAGCTTTCTTTAGGCATTCCATCACTCTTTTTCCTCCATGAAGCTAGAAGGAAAAACAATTACAAGAAATAAAAGAACCTTAGGGAGCTCCAGTATCTCTTCCCTTGGCACATATATGGCATTTCCTGGTGGTCTACCACAGAAACACAAAACTACACAAACAGTGCAGAAATAGCAGTCATTGAAAGCTTACTTTGCCTGATGGCGACCAATTTTAAGTTTTGCTAAATCAGGCAGTAACATGAATAGTTGTTGAAAGCCTTCAATTATGAGATCAATGAACTCAATTTTGTAATATGTACACCAATGCATACTTTGAGAAACAGATTTCAAACACTGCTCTTTACAATTTCAACAGCTTATGTGACAAGCCCTGAAGAACAATTTTTTTTTTAACCTTCAACAACTTGTATCTTTGATTTGGAAGTTTAGTAGTTCATGTGCAAACACAGCTACTATAATAAACACATGCAAAACGCAGACTGTACTATGACAGCCAGACTTAAACTCGTTGACACTCAAAAGCTTGCATGGTACTTCCACCCTTAAATTTGAGTTTTCTTCATTTTTGTATTTATGCAGCTTACGCTGCAGTGAGATTTAAAAGCTTCACATATTAGAATACATTCCAATGAAATATGTATCACTAAGCGATGTAGCTACTTCAGAAGCAAGTGCCTTCAGAAGAAAGGCAGAACTATGTTACTAAGGTAGGATGTGTTACACCGCTGTTGCTTTATTCTTACCTCCTCTCCGTTCTTGTCAGTATTTCGGCCAGACCAAAACAGATGGGCACAAGTGCTCACAGCCCGGCATTGGTCTGGCTTCTTAAGGAGCTTAGAGGCTGCCAGCGCACACTGAGTCCTCAAAGGCTCATGGTTCTCCTCACTGAAGCACTTCATCCTCTCAAATGTCCCAATTATCAAGGTGATTGCAGCCAGCTGTGCTTTTGAATCACTAATTTCATCTTCATAGAGAGAGAAGGCCTAGTCAAGGGAGAAAGCAAGACTCTTAATCACTGCTTTAGAACACATCAGAAAAAAAACAAATCACACTTGCTATAGTGACATGGCAGGAAAACGTCCAGTTTCACATTTGTTAAAAGCTTCAGGCAGAAAAAAGATCTTTCATTGAGAGTGTCAAAATCAAGTTAAATCCACAGACTGGAAATAAGTCTTGCAAGAAATACTTCTTACTTAAGTGGTCATAGTAAACAAATGTGATCCTACATATACTCTGAAGATTGAGTTTTTCCTCATTTCAAGCATCTGTTCAAATATGGAACTTCAGTAGCAGAAATAGTCCCTAAAGACGGCTTGGTTCTTTGAAACACACAAAACAGCAGAAGTTGAGTGGTAGGTCAGTGACCACAGAGTAGTAAGAAAAGTGTCTGCACTGCTGCTACATGGATGAAGAGCTTTGAGAGAACACACCAGACAAAATCTTGAACCATCTCTCTAATAGAAGGCCTATAATTGTCATGCTGCTCTCATCTTCAGAAGTGTGCTACAATGGCAACTGATACAAGACAGTGAGGAAAGGCTGAAGTTATCAGTTTAGGAACACGCATTAGAGGAAAGCTTAGGACAAAGCTTGCAACATGGATAACATTAAATACGTTGGTTCTTTACCTGATGGGGAGAATGGGAAGGTTTTTGCAACAAGTAAGACTTAAGACCAAGTAACAGGTTTAAGTGAATTTTCAGAGTAGTTTATAATAGGTTTCGATACAAGGATTTTAATTAGCAGAACCCAGCATGTCAGTTGTGAACACTGCAGATTTTAGAGAACTTCCAAAGAGTGCTTGTGGTTAGGGCAATACCAGTTAAATAACAGGAGCTGGGAGACAGTCTTAGAAGCACTGAAGGATTGTTTTATGTTGAGAAAGCTACACTCCTCCAGTGAACCATGTGAGTAGGAGGCAGCATTGCAACATAACCACATGTTGTCAGACTCAGTATTCAAATCAGTAGCAATGGAGCTTAATTCCACAGCAGCCTGGGAAGCAAGAATGAAGATGAGGTGTTTCTACCTAGTAGCATTAGCTGTCAATCATTTCAGATGTTTTAATCACACTGGATGGTTCAACGTTCAGGAAACCTAACCAGGCCAAATTTAAGGTAGCACAGGACAGTGACCGTAATAGTTGGACACTCACCTGGGACATGAATTCATAGGCCACAGTTTCATGATTCTCAAAGCCAATCTCTCCTGCAGCCAGTGCTCCTTGTAGGAAGAGACGGAGAGGCAGCTCTGCCAGTTCTGCTTTGATCAGAGCACTGATGGTCTGATGAGCAAATGAGAAGATCTTCTGGCACTTCTTTTCCCATTTGTCATCCTAGAGAAGTGAAACAAGTAAAAGCTTGAACAAGCCTATTGCTATAAGGAAAAGAGAATCTCAATTATAGTAAGATCTGTTAAGTGCTCCAGTCTGTTGTCTTCTGCATGCCACTCCAGGCACTTATTTACTGAAGTAGTAGTGAGTGCCCTAGCAGTACTGTGTTGACCTCAGTGGGTCTTCATGAAGTATTTCTTCCATTTACAAAAAGTTCACACCCATTTTTCCTACCAGCTCATAGAAACCTTCCTCAGAAGTCTACACTGAATT